TTAAACTTTTCTATACCTCAGTAGGAATAATAATAGTGAGCCAAGATGCCAGAGGAGTGGGAATATTCAGGAGCATGTGGGTACCCTGAGCCAGCTGTGATGCCTCCCACTTCACAGCCTCTGATGCAGAGGTAGGAAGCATGATGCATTCCAGCTATCCTCAGCTAATGTATGGCTCCGAGGGGATCACAGCCCACTGAAAAGTTTAGGGCTGCTGTAAGTTTAGAGCTGTTCTATTCTGCACCTGGGGATGGGGCCAGACAGAGATTTGGGTTTCCTGTCGGCCCTGCCTCTACCCACTCACAGGCATCTTGTGAAACTTCACATGTAGGTCTCTTGAGCACCTCCTGTGGAAGGCAGCACCTAAATAGAAAGTATTTTTGTTTTCAAAGATTGCGTCTGATTTCACTGTCACCTAATGAAATCACAACATCACAGACTCCAGATTTAGGGCCTGATTCTGTCCTTAGCTACTATAACCCAGGAGTAAATCCACTGATTTTAATTCAGTTACTCCCAGACAAAATCTGTGTGATGTCAGAACTAAGCCTTTCACTTTTCCCTGAAGAGTAACATGTTGCAGATTTGTATAGTATTTACATACACTGATTGATTTAAACGGTGCTTATATAATGATGATGAGAGATTCTATGGGGTGCATCAAAAGCTATTCCAGAGATGTGATCCAGGAACCCGATAGACCAGCTGGCAAAGGTACAGATGGAGTGCATAAGAGTTACAGTGAACTTCTGGGTCTGGTATGTACATTCTAGTTCACCAAAGAGTGTCATGTCATGTGAAGTCTCAAATGAAAGCCAGCATCATGCTGGTCATCAATATCATTGCAAAATGCATGCCCAGATGTTGTGGAAGGAGTTATGCATATATATTGAAAATTATGTTTTAAAGTCTGCGTCTAGGGACTGAACACCAGAAATGGTGAAAAACAGGTTTTCTGTCAGGCAAGAAACATTTATCTGTCTGTCTGTTTACATGTACATTAAGTATTGTGTGGTTCAGAGTACGTCTCTACTAACAGTCTAAACCAAATGCTAATGAAGGATTGTAAAAACTTCAAAAGGAGAAAAGTAACAGGAAGAAGAAAACAGGAAATAGAGGGAGGCCCCTATCTTGAGGTGCATATCAAAGGTTTGCTGTAGTATATTTGGGGGACAAAGAAGACAACCTGGCTTCCTTCACCCAGGAAGAAAATGGACAGCAAGATTGCTCCATGAAAAAAGGTCTGAATCAGGCAAGCTGAAAACACTGGAAAGAACTTTGGGTGAGCTAATCTCCTGTCTAAAGAAGCTTAACTTGTTAGTTATGTTTAGTCTCTAGAAAGAGCGTTATGATTTTGTATTGGATGTAACCATTTGTTTCCAATATTCTTACTCACTATCTCTCTGTTCTTTGATGATGATGATGATGTGTGTGTGTGCGCACGTGCACTGTGTTAAGTACAGTGGTCGTTCTGAGTTGAATCTTACAAGCTGGTGTGTATTGTTCTTTTGGGAACAGCAGGCCTGGTTAATCTATGAGAGTTCAGTGGATAAAGGTCTGAATGGTACAGAGAACACTCGGATTGTGCCATTGGTGTGTGCCTGTGGCTAATCTGTACAAAAGGAGCAAGGCCTGCAGAGGCCTCAGAGATAGTGTTTGTGGTGCCAGAGGCTGGTGGTTTCAAGGAGCTGACCCACAGTAGGTACAGATAAGACTTCCTTATGCTAAGGGCAGGTGGTGATGTGCCTCACAACCCTGCATACCCTTAGAAGCGTCACAAGAGATACATTTAATAAATAACACACATGGTTCTATATAATACAAAACAAAGTAAAAAGAGAAATACAGGCTTTGGCTACGACATGGAAAAGCTATTGTCAATATAGTTTTTACTCAATGCTCAATTGAGTATTTCTAAAGTTTTTTTTGAAGATAACGTTATCAAGTAGTTTAGGCCCCCAAAATTATTTTTTTAGAGTTCTGATATGAATACTGATACTTCATAATGTTAGGAAATAGAAAGAAACCAGTCCTTTCTGATTGTAAAGATCACTGTAGTGTTGAAACCACAATCATCACGGTACTATGCTAGCCTGTGAAAGACAGAACGTCAAAATGGATATGAACTGAACATGAAATGGATGAGTGTCACTTCATTGTTCAAGCTGAAACTGCAGAATGGTGGAAATTCAATTCAATTTTTAAAATTCGCTCAGGTTCAATAACCTCAGATATTGTTAGTGACACACAGGTAAGTCCATTTTAAAAATATTACTTTTATTTCTACAGTCCCTTTATATGCATACAAGAGAAAAAAGACCAGCCAAATTCTCTTTAATCATATCTTCCCTACAAGGGTAGACTGAGCTGATTTGTGGCTCCTTTTTTCTCTTGGTGAGAGATCCCACTGGGTTGCATGAATAACTGCTCACCCACTGTTGTCACACCTGGGGCCACGCAAAGCTCTGATCAGTAGTTCTCTATATCAATGTGTATGTGCTAGTTCTAATGATACTCCACTCTACATTTTCCTCACTTCAGATCCAGATTTCATAGTTTCTCTAATTTCCCAGAGAATGGGTTAGATTCAGTTTTAGCTATTTGCTTTCAGACAATCTAGACAAGACTGAATTAATGCTAGTTGGGTTGGGATTACATTTGTATGGACGGATGGTGCTGCATCTCCCCTTTCCATATTCCCCTTTCCAACTACCTTCCTCTCTGATGTGGTCTTTGACAGTTATTCATACCTTTGCTGGATGCAGATCACATGTAACAGGTTGGCAGGTGCTAGCAAGCTGCATAAGAAGGCAGAGGTCTTCTGCTGACTCTCCCTTGCAGCCGGAACAGGTGTATAAAAGCCTCAAGACAAAAGGGTTTCAGTTCTCTCCCTGGCAGAAGGAACTTGGGATGGGGGACAGAATGGTTGGGGTTTTTTTGGTTGGTTGGTTGGGGTTTTTTTGTTTTTGTTTTTAATAGAAAGCCCCTAGGTTTTCAGGAAAAAACCCTATTTTCAGGAAAAATCTTAAACTGAAGTTTATGTTTCTTGGTGGACAAGTTAACAAGAAAGACAAAACCCAGGACAGGACATATTTGAACCAGATCCAACATGTGACTACATCACAGAAATGCCTCTTGGAAGTTCAGATTCCTACATAATGTTGCTGTTTGATTCTTACGCATTTGCAAGGAATGTACATCTGTGCTCAGAGCTCTGCATGGGGTAGCCATTCCCTTCTGAGTAACATCCAGGGTTCTGATTATGATATATAAAACATATTGTTGGAACCCAATTATTCAAGAAATAGCTTCTACTCCTATTTTTTTTTCTGTCAATTTCTGGATAATAGTCTCTAGGCCCAGCACCAAAGCTTTCTTAGAAGAGACCCTCCCATGTTGAGCTTGCATTTTCTCACAGTTCTCCCAGAGCCAGTGATTGGAAGGCTTCAGCATGCTCTGTAAGGTGTCTTTTCTTATGCAGGCTAATTGAACCTTTTAAAAGGTCTTTGAAGAGATATCATTTGGGCTAACAGTGTAGCCACTGGGTATTTGCCTACTGTATGTAGGAGGTATTGTTTAATTGTAGAGATATGTTTGAATAAGGTAAGATGTCCAGATGCCATGGAGATGAGTGCTAAACACAGCTATGAAAGTGAATAAACCAATTTAATAACAACTTGGAGACATTGTGAGGCTTAATTAACAAATCTTTGTAAAGTGTTATATAAATGCAAATACATTAACGTTACATAACATAACATTAAATACAAGCAATAGCAGACTATGGGCAGATTGAGTGGATAGGCTGATCCAGCCCAGTGTTCCAACCCCACTTCTGGAAGTACGTGGGTAAATTTGGGGCTGTGTTGTCTGGAGCAATCCAGTCCTCAGTTAGCCTGAATCTGTCCCTAAATACAATTTTCCACAGTTTATGCAAATGATTTTTATACAGTGGCAGATTTTCTAGATTCAGAATAATCTGATTTATATAACAAACTCCTGTGTCCCTGACTCATCAGATAAAGGACAAGGACATTTTGTTTTAAAAGGGACTAATCCAGGGATTAAATGGTGATGGAAACTCAGTTTCATCTGTGCTTCCTATCACAGTCACAGCAATGGCCATGCCTACTTCTATACTCCCTGCTATCCCATGCAAAATAAACCCAATGACAAGAAATAATCCTAAAGAGACAGAATGAAGCAACAGCAGGAAATCACTATGCTAAGGCGTAGGAGAGATCCAAAGCAGTGATCTATTGATCAGATAGAGGCAAACCTCATAAAGCTGCAGGATAAGGCAAACCCCAGAGCCAAAACCAGAGCAGGAGAGGGGACATCTCAACTGGGATGAGAAGTAATTGTATATTCATAGCGAAGATCATAGAAGTGGATCCCCCCTGGCTGTGCGCTACAGAGACCACTGAAGGAGGGATGTTTCTGCTAAAAGTAAAGGCTGTAGGGCAGAGCTAAGAATAGCTTTGCTAGAACTACCGTCTTCCTTCAGCAGTCCGGGTACCAGGGCATCCTCCCCCTCCATCCGGCCTGGACAGCATCACCTCCTATCCTGGCTGCAAACGAGATCCTTACCGGAGGGAGGCGGTATTTGACAGGCTGGATAAATACAGGCCCAGCATAAAGTGCCATTAATAATGGAGACGATAGGCTGGAGTTGAGCGAGTTCAGACACCAGCTAACTCTCCCCTAGGCCTGGCCTCAAACTCCAGATCTCCACGTGCTTGTCCCTTCCTAGCTCCTGCGTTACCAGGCCGGCCAGGGGCTTTCCAGCGGCAGTTCCAGCCCAGTGGGGACGGGGACTCCCTGCGTGGTGCGGGCAAGAGCCTCGGGGCCCCTCGGTAACACTAAAGGGCCCGGGGAAGGGCTCGGGGGCGGGACGATGCTGGCAGCTCCGGGGCCGGCCCAGCCCGGTGGAGGGACAGCCCCGCCCGGCAGTGGGGCGCCGCCTCCCGGGGCCCGCACAGAGGCCAGGCCGCCGCGCGCCGCTCTGGCTCCCAGTCCCCGGAGGAGGCGGAGGGAGCCGCAGCTGCCCGGCCTGGGCACCATGCAGCCGGGCAGGCGGTAGCGGCAGCCCGGGGCCATGGCCACCTGGAAGCGGGACGGCCGGGTGACCGGCTGCCAGCGGCTGGGCTGCGCCGGGCTGGCCGGGGCGCTGAGCCTCAGCCTGACCGCCCCGCTGGAGCTGCTCACCGTCCTGGCCCAGGTGGGCGCCTCCCCGCCCTGGCGGGGGCTCTGGCAGGCGGGCCGCAGCGTCTGCCAGGCCGAGGGCCTCGGGGCCCTGTGGAAGGGGAACCTCACCGCCTGCCTGCGCCTCTTCCCCTACAGCGCCCTGCAGCTCGCCTCCTACCGCAGGTAAGCGCGGGGCGCTGCCCGGCTCGGCCCGCCTGCTGCCCGGCTCGGCCCGCCTGCTGCCAAGGGGGTTCGGTCGGGGCAATTGGGATGGGCAGCCTGGTGCCCCAGCGGGGTGGGGGGCTGTGGGCGCTGCCAGGATCTGCTCTGCTCCTGCAAAGGGGTTTCCCAGCGCCCAGGGTACAGGCAGCAGAAGTTGCCCTGTTACGTCTCCGATTAACCATTTCGGAGGCTGAGGACGGGGACCTCCTGCCATGTTTACTCTGCTGACCGAGTTGAGATCCGGATTTAAATCATCTGGAGATTTACCCATCCAGACTGGCCCAGCCTTTACGATGAGTTTGATCATGGGTATTTGTCAAAGGAAACCTCACATCTCCCAAGTCAGCAAGTAGACTTTTTCCAGTTTGACTTAATATGAAACCTGTTTCCTTGCGTTTTTCTACAATTTAGCATGTGCTGACCTGGCAGATCTCATTTGGAAAGGAGATTTTTCTCGTTTTAGATTAACATCAGAGACCCCTCATATTAAAACTCCCACTTCTGCTTGAAAATATGTCCTCTCTCTTGGCTAAGTGCACTCAGTAACACCTACATTTCCTGTAATTGAAAGAGATTAGGAAAAAAGATGTGGCTCCACTTTATTTATTTTTTTTCAGTTTACTTGGCTGGACAGTGCTTGGTGTGTTGTCAGTTTCTCTGTTCCCTGTATACTCCCACTCTAGGCCTCAATGTTGTAGTCAGTTTCCCCTGTTTTGTGATTGTCTCTAGTACAGCAGCAGGGGAAGGATACACATTTTTTAAAAAGGGAAAACTATGACTGTAAAACTCAAACCAAACCATAGGCTGTTGTTTTTAACTTTTGTTTTTAATTGGCTAGATTGCAAAGTGACTGTATCCCTTTAAGGAAGTTCAAAGTTTCTCCTTCTTGTGATAATTTTGCTCTTTCAATTATTGCAGTAGCTTTTAGTGTTCCCATACAAACATGTACAAAGTCGTATATCTTTCAGATTATCACAGTTTGACACTCCTGTAAATGTTCCATTCACTATGTGATTTACTGGGACTTGTTTTTTAATTAAGGTCACAGTAGGTTGCAGTTAGCATCTGTTCCTTAAGCACTGTTAATTGTATTTTAGTTTTAGTTTTTCACAAATCTGTATTAAATGAGCCTATATACAAAAATGAATAAGAACATTTTTTAATTTTACCAGACTCATAACTAAGAGCCTTCATTTTTATAGTTGTAATGCTAGCCTAATGGTGATCATTAATCTTTATGCACAGAGTCTTTAAAACTACTGTACATTACATGTTAAAACTCCCTTTTTTAATAAGAAACAGCCACTAGAGGCAATAATGCTGCAGAGAGAGAGGAGTGTTTGCCAATATGAAGTAGTTCTGTCAACATTACTCAGCAGAAATGCATGATTTATTAGGATTTCCTTTTCTGTCAGGCAGTTTGCAGTCAGTTGTTTGTTGCAAAGCCTCCAGTTGTCTCTGAAGCAGTGGGCCTGTTTGTTTGAAGGTTGGGTGGATTTTTTTGCTTTTTGCCAGTTGGTTTATTGAGGTCAGCTGGGTGCAGGATGTATGCTTCTGCATGGTTGGGAGGATGGGGTTATTCCAGTTCATTGGCTTCCCAAACCCGATGGGAGGGGAAGGAAAAGGAGTGGGCTCACTTTCCTGCTGTCCAATCAGGCACGCTACAGGGGACTCGACCCACACTGACGCCATCCACTGTTTGTAATGGGCTTGTCCTGCACCTGGCAGTGAGTGAATCATCATTGCTCTGGATGTGCAGTTCATGATGAAGATGGGTTAGTGGAGCACCAAGATTTGGACTCAAGCAGCTTTATTTGGTCCTCCTGCTTTGTAACAATTCTGTGAATCTTAGATGGACTGACTGAATGTTACTTGAAACAATGCACCCACTATTTGCTGGGTCAGCAAGCTGCTCCGAGGAGAGGATGGACAGTTTTCTTTCTCTTCTCATTTGCCCAGCAGATCCCTGTCAATTCCTACAAGTGGAGAGGAGCTGCTAGGCAAAAACAAGTACAATTACTCACACACTCCCCCTCTAATGCATTAAGCTTGTGGTTTATTTGTGAGATTCCTAGGAGGGGAATACCATGCGCAGAGACAAAACAGCAGACAGAGATAAACACTAATAATATTTAGTCCAAAAAGGACATGGTCTGGCTAGAAAGTTATTGAATGTTTTGAGCCAGGGAATGGTAGCTTGATGGGAAAGGATGGAATTTAATTACACACACACACACACCCCTCCCTGCCCTTCTGAGCTGCTCCCTAGGCTCTGACTCCCCTCTGACTTCTCCTTTGCTCACTTCCTGCTGCTTGCATGATATCCATCATGCTCATTTCTAATTTGATTTGAGTAATGTGTGCACTGGAGTAAGTCCTTAGTCTGTCCTCTGAATCACAAATGCCAGAATCACAGACTACCCTTGAAGACTCCAGGACGCTATCAGTGAGTTGGGGAAAAATACAAAACATGCCAATGTTGATGTTTTAATAGCAAACTCAAACCTAGACTTAATCCTTGACACAATGTAGTGCCTGAGCGTGAGTCTTCCCCCTGAGCAAGAGAAGCCCTTCTAACCCTGAGACAATGAAACAAGGGATGTTCTGCTGCTCTCAGGATTGTAATGAAGATTTCTGCATATTTTTTCTATAACTTCTACTGGAGTAGCCCGTATATTGGAAACACTGGTAGAGAGAAGTAGTCACATCTCAGATCTCCTGTTGATAACTGAAACAGTGAGTCAACTCCTTTAGCATATTAAGTCTGTGCAGTAGTGTTTTGAGTTATAGTAACTTTCGTCTTGGTAGATGTAAATACAGAGTACTAGGATTTAAGGCCAGACGGGATCACCAGATTATCTGACCTCCAGGATATCACAGGCCACTAAACACCACCCTGCACCCGCATACTAAACCCAGCCACCAAAATTAAACCACAGTATTACAGCCCACAGGAGACCAGAGTATTATGTGCCACAGGCAGAGACTAGGAGGGACTGAGGTGCTGCTTCTCATTAGGGTTCTCATTTACTGACCTGTGTTTAAACCAGAATTCTTTTGAAAAGCAAACCAGCGGTCCTTTGAACTACTACAGTGTGACATCCCTTCACAGTTTTCATAGTTTTTCTTGAGCTGGTGCTTCCTAGCCAAGAAAATTGAAAGAGTATTGGTTAGTGGTTATATCTGGGGACTGAGAGTCAGTCACTGAATTGCTTTGTGACCATAGGGCAAGTCATTCTGACCTCTGTGCCCATGTTTACCCCCTGTTTACAATTGTTATTACCTGCTTCATGGAGGTTTTGAGGCTTGCTCAGGATTTGTAATGTGCTTTGAGACCCTTGGATGAAATACATCATTGAAATTCTAAGTATTATTTATTATCAAATAAGCTGATGGGCAGAAGAACAATTACATCAAGAACTATCTTCATTTTTATGCCTGATTTTTATTGAGTCATAATTAATAGTTCCTCTCTTATCTGTCTCTTCTAGGTTTGTCATGCTCTTTATGGATGACTTGGGCCACATTTCCCAGTGGAGTGCCATCATGGCCGGAAGCCTGGCTGGCACGGTTGCAACCATAGTGACTTACCCTACCGATGTGGTAAAAACGCGACTCATAGTGCAGAACCGGTTGGAGCCATCTTACAAAGGGATTCTTCATGCTTTTTACATCATTTATCATCAAGAAGGATTCCTTGCGCTTTATCGCGGTGTTTCGCTGACTGTATTAGGTAATCTAATAATGGGAAAGAGTCTTTTTTTTAGCTTTACTGTACATTATGTATTGAAACATCAATATGACGCACCTGTAAGTTTTCCCAGTTCATTTTAAATGTGCAAGCAGTAAAATGACTCTGTAGAGGACATTTAGATGTATAAAGCACTATAGCTCACAACTTGTTTCACAATTTTGTTATTTCTGCTGTAGCTGAGTTGTCTCTAAATTATGAGCAAGTGCTGCCATTATCTTTAATGGGTGTGGCTAAGAGAATTTGAGAAGATACACTTGCCTAGCTTTTCTGGATTACCTGGTTGCATTTAGAGGCAGCCTATTCCTCCTTTACTTTACTTAAGAAAAATGATGTGTACCCATAGTGCACTGTGGGTGTAATATGGTACTCCTGAAAGGTGAGTCAAAGCAGTGGCATTCCTCTTTACTTGAGGCAGATGTGGCATTTTTATTTATTTTGTAAAATATTTATTGACTCTCTACTCTGTAGCTTTGCAGAATACCACATTTTAATATACCGTAAATGTTTACATAAATTGATTCTGACAAAAAATAATGAGCACTAACAGCTTACAAGCAAAACTTAAAATTAGTGACAGCAGAAAACAGAAATTGTATGCCAGGCAAGAGAGAAGAATGTCACTCATCAATTTGGGCTAAAGTGCAACCCAGTTGTGTGAAGAGTGGAACAAAAGATTGACCTTTCTCGAGACCAGAACAGTAAGAGACACCAACACCATATACAAGCCCTGTTGTAAACGTAAATACCTAATGCCATATTTGGACCCTAAAACCTGAGCTTTAAATAAGCAAGAAGTCCCCTTGATAAATGAATATCTAACAAGTAAAGGTTTTCAGATATTTAAGTCTGATCTAAGTGAGGAAAGCAGGGTTTAAACTGGCTTACAGTCCCTGGCATTTAGACAAGGCTAGGAGGAAGCATGTAGTTCTCATTATACTGTGTTGTATGCTCACATGAATCTTTTCTGTCTGGTTTGCTTTATAGGCGCTATCCCATTTTCTGCTGGCTCGTTCTTTGTTTACATCAATCTGAATAAAATATGGCAAGAGCCCAGCTTTCGCTTCTCTCCTCTTCAGAACTTCATAAATGGCTGCCTAGCAGCTGGGGTAGCACAGACACTCTCCTTCCCCTTTGAGACCGTAAAGAGGAAAATGCAGGTACGGAGCATCGTTATTGTTACCATTTTGGTGGTGGTCATATTGTCAGTGTTAGTTTCAGGAGTTTGGGGCCAGACACTAGCCTGTTGATTGTGATTCTTTTTTACGAAGAGTGAATCCTTAGAGGGGTTTAATTATTCCTGGCAGTAATGGCCGAGAATTTTTTGGCTTAGGTTTTGTTAAGACCAGTTTAAGTGGTATCATGAGATCAACAATATTTCTTGATGTTACCTTATTTTCATTAAAACTTCATCACCATCATCAGAGTAGCAGACATGTCATCATCTGGTGGCTGCTTGGCCTATGTCAAATGAGCTGATATCCTGCTCTTGGTGTGCAGGTATCCACATCATAAATGCTCCCATCATAATTGGTAGCCTTATTGACAATCTCAGGATGGAAGCCAAACAAAAGGGATGGAGACTACCTGGGGAGGCCCCTTTGAGTCAGGGTTCAGGCCTATTGAAGTGGAAGTGTTCACTGCTTCTTTATTCAAAAAGTAAACATGGGGTTTCATTTCTAAGGCTCCCAGGGTACTTGTACATTGCAAAAAAGACCCACAGTGCCAAGTTTCGGAACCCACATCAGCTGACTCGGGTCCACGCTATGGAGCTAAAAATAGCACTGTAGACATTCCCTGGTCGGGCTGGAGCCCGGCTCTGAAACCCTATTTTTAGCCCCGTAGCGCAAGCCCCATAAGCCAAGTCAGTTAACCTGGGCTCTGAGACTCGCTGCTGCATGGTTTTTTTGCAGTGTAGATGCACCCTGTGTCTGATACCCTACATGAGCACAAACTTTGGGACTAGTATGATGAACATTCAGTAGTGGGAATAGCCCTTCCTTTTGGTTCTCTCCTCAGATCTACTAAACTCATGCTTCTGCCAAATAGTTTAATAAGGAAAACTAGTTCCCCCTCAGTTCAAACTGGGATTTAAATTCCCGTATTGTTTTTAGGACAGTTGTAACACAGTTCCCCAAAATAGTGTGAAATCTGATTTTTCCCTACCGTTCTGTCCTGAATCCAGACCTTTGCCTTCTTTTTTTTTTTCCCTCTCCATACTCATGTGAAATGGTTGGCTTGTTTCACCACTTGAGTTGCTTGTATTGTTCCCCGTGTTGGAGTTCCTACATACATTCCACATACGTTCATAGCTAGCACAGTCCATAGAGAATTAGGCAGGGACCAGGTCATATTCTCATGCTTTTCTCGTTAGCCATAACCACCTACATTTCAGTGCACCAGTAACTTGTGCATTAAGTTTTCATAGCTAGTGAGAAGGAAAATTCTCAGGCTTCTGGTCTTATGTTAAAAAGGTCCATTTATAGTTTGCTCCTCTGGAGCAGTATAGTTGGGGAAGCAAAAAAAGCATTTCTTTTCAGCCACTAGGTTGTGCTGTTTCACCAGTTTTTTTTATAGATAAATGCCAGCTGCTCTCTGTTGGGTACTTCTGTATAGAATGTTGAGAAACTCTGGGTTTATTGCCCTATCTAGGTGACCAGATGTCCCGATTTTATAAGGACAGTCCCGATTTTTGGGTCTTTTTCTTATTAGGCTCCTATTACCCCCCCACCCCCTGTCCCGATTTTTCACATTTGCTGTTTGGTCACCTAGCCCTATCTCTGTAGAGAACTGTCCTACACTTCCAGCAAATAAATGTATTAAAAAAAAAAAATGACCGGAAAGAAGAAATTGATCAAAAATATAAATATTTTCTCTGTTCTACAGTTATTTGTTTTCACTTTTGCTGCAATTTATATACTTGTCAAGTGCCTTACAGTTTTAAGGTGCGCTTTTTTTTTTTTTAAGCTTAAAGACCCCCAGCTCCCCATAACACTTTACTAACAAACTGGGGGGAAGGCAGGAGGATACATATAAATTCAACCAATCCTGATTTGTTATTTTAAGTAGGAGTGGTTGAACTTGCTCAAACTGCCAAGTAAAAAGCCTGGCTGACCCTGGGGGCTGGCTGAAGCTGGGTTGAAGCGGTCTACGAAGTTTTTTCTAAAAGTTAGCATAAGCATGTTGCCCAGCCTTGTGGGGGATCAGTTCCACTGATCTCGCCTGCTGAGGGCCTGAATCTCCTCTTGCTGAAGCAAATGGAAAGGCTCCCATTGCCTTCAATGGGACGTGGACTGGATCCTGGGAGCGCTCTGAAGGAGGAATGCTCTGTCCCCAATACAGAGGGGAGTCAGTGCATTAGGGAGTGCAGAGTAGCCACGATGATATCCGCATCAGAAGGGCAGTGACAAGGTGGGACCTAGAAAGGGGAGTGGGAAAATGGAACATCCCAGAGGTACTGTGGGGAAAACAATGGGGGGGCGGAGGGGAGGAGCTAATACCTTTCGTAACCATGATTCTGTCCCAACTGTCTCTTCTGATCTGTTTCCATCTGGTGAGCCTACTCACTGGGGAAAAGAAACATGTGATGTACTGAAATGTTTAGCTACCCCAGTAGGCTAGCATGCTCTGCAGCGGCACATAGGGAAACTCTGGTTCATTTCACAGACCTGGACTCTTGCTTGCTGGGTGAGGAGGAGCTGAGAGCTCTGGGGCGGACTTGGGGCCACAAGGAGTCCCTCTGATGGACTTAAGGAATGAAACTAGCAGGCTGCCAAAGGAGTCTCACCAGTCTTCCTGCCCAAGGGGAGATCCAGTGGCTCAATACTGGTGTTGGGCAGGGGAAATTGGGGAGTCTCAAGGCTCTCTCAGATCCCCCGAGAGAGATAACTGGACAACCATCAGGAAGATCCCCCACAAGGCCTAGACCCCACTAATACAGCAGTGGTCTGGAACTGCAGCACTGATCCAAGGAAGTGAGACTAGGACTGTGACCTAGGAACACTTGAGTTCTAATCCCAGCTCTGTAACTGTCTTACTAGACAGCCTTGGGCAAATCACTTGAACTCCATCTATTTCCATGTCTGAATAATACTTCCTCAGTTAGGAGTTGTATGCACAGTGCTTTGAAGAGACATACCACTATGTAAGGACTAAGTACTACTAACATTTATCAGTCATCTTTTGATCACAGTTGATCCATCCTTTCCAGTGTTACATATCTACAGCCAGATCCTGCTCCACTGATGTCAGTAGGAGTTTTGTCACTGACTTCAATGGAACAGGATCGGACTCTGCATTATTTTATATTTTGGTGGTGATTTACTCTGTCAAACTTGTTCCTGTAACCAGGGCTCTCCCCTTCCCCACTTCACCCTCAGTGTTATAGTTACCATGTTTAGCATTTTTTTTTTAAAGTTGCTATATTTGATCCTAAATATAGTCAAATGCTTTTTGATTTTTTTAATTAAAAACTAATTCTAATTAGTCATTTTGAATGTGTGAGCCCTCTCTCTCTCTATTGTGATTATCCTAATTTTATCCCTTTGTCTTCCTTTTTTTCATTTCGCTCCTGATTGGCATGTTAGAGAATTGAGAGGTACAGTATGCATGTTTTGGCATGGAACATATGGCTTATATTGTGAATCTAGAGGATGGGGTTAGTCAGAGGGGAATTTCTCAGTAACACTTTCTGTGCTATCAACTTTTAGAAGAAATAAGTAAATTATTGCTTAGGTGAAAGAGAACCTAAGACTAGATCCTTCCCTCCAGTATGAGATCGCCTTTATCATAGCCCATCATAGTGCACAAGGTATTGGAAGACAGGATACAAACCTAATGACTGAAAAAGGAAATAGCTGGATTACTTTTATTCGAAGTTTAGAAGAAAAACTTAGTGGGTGTTGAGTTGATATTTTTAACATGTACTGTGAAATCTTTGTTTGAATCCAAGTATTTGCTGAAAACCTCACTAAAATTTTCACATTAAAATGTAATGAAATTTTGCATAGCTGATTTGTGTTCCATTGGCATTATAGGGGTCACTTTAGGTTTAAAAATTGTATATATTAAATAAATTTGTGTTGCATATAACACCATAGATATTAAACCTCAAAATTATTTCTTACTTTTTCACTTACTTTTTGGATTTCGCTCAGTTTGAACAATGAAAATAGTCTAATCAGTTTCATTTTTATTTGTAGCCAATTTCTAATTAATGTCTTTATTAGGCTGTCATGCACTAGCACAATGATGCAATGTTTGTTTGCAAATATTAAAAGGAAATGTTAAAGGAGGAGAAGGGCTGTTGAGGTTTTTTTTTAATTGCTTCCTTAGGACTCTCTTAACATTTCTAAGCTAATTCAAATCCAAATAAAAATTGCCAATTACTGGTACTCTCATCTTCCATCAGTAGCATGAAAGATATTGAGGAGTTGTTTAAACCAAAATCCAATTTCCCAGATGAATATCTAATACTGCACCAGAGAACCTTGCACCTTTATTAAAATGAATTCAAGATGATCTCTTTCTGCTGTTACCTCCAGCCAGCTAGGAGGGTTTCCTGATTTAGCTAGACCAGCAAACCTTCTCTAGTGTAGAAGACTAAGCCTAACAGAGTCCATTCCTTACAGCTATTGTAGGATTCAGTTTTATATATATATATATATATATATATAACACATGGAATGGTGTGCAATCAATGCCATATATATATGTGTTATGAAGAAACCTCTCACAGGAATGTAGCATGTTGGAGTGCATCATGTGAAGATGCTTCCATACCATTTTAACACCAGGTTATGTATTCAGTGGACTGTAACTGTCCTTTTTGGAGCAATCAAAAACAAATGGATATGATGTTCTTCACTTCCTGTCCTAAACAGTTGTGCAGGGTTGCTATGGGCTGGAAGTGGCTGGTTTTCAGTGGGGAATTGCATTAATATTGGGTGTAGTTCTATGAGCTGGGAGGTGAAAACATTATATATATCAGTTCATAGGTGCTGGAACCAGGGGTAATGGGGGAGTGGCAGCACCCCCTGGTTTGAAGCAGTTTCCATCATATACAGGATTTACAGTTTGGATCAATGGCTCTCCGCACCCCCACTATACAAATTGTTCCAGCGCCCTGTATCAGTTTGTAAAGTGCTTTGGGATAAAAGGT